CTCCCAAAATATGTGTTATAAATCCAAACCCCTATACCAGTAGATGTAATCCCATTTGGGAATAAGGTTTTCTTTGTTATGTTAAGGAGGCCAGGTCAGTGTAGAGTATGTTTGAAACCAATTGCTTTTGAGATATGAAAGAGCAGATTAGGCAGAGAAGAAGGCAGACACAGGGGAAGAACAACACTCTCTGAAGAGGATGGAGGAAGACCCGTCTACAAGCCCGGGAACCCCGAGGATGGCCGGCTAGAGGATCCTCCCCAGAGCCCACAGACACAGCCTTCCCTGAGAGCCAGTGCCTTGAATTCTGACTCTAGACTCCTGAGTTGTGACAAAATAAATTTCTGTTCATTAAAGCCACCCACTTGTGGTAATTCTGTTCAGCAGCACTAAGAAACTAAGACAAAAGCAAGATAAAATGGCATCATAATGACTCGCCAATAATAAAGTGCCAACCCCGGGAGGTGCCCCCAATTTGAATATATACTACTTCCATTAAAAAATTCCTTGTAAGGGTGTAAGCTAGACCAACCTAAGTCATCAATTTTTTCATCAGCACACTCTCTGTGCAGGGAGGGGAGGGGAGGGGAGAGCATACTGGCTCTGGGGTTCTCAAGGGCATCTCCCTGCATCTCACGGGAAGATGCATTTCCCTTCCTGCAGCAGAGAAATCCTGCAGGCCAGGGCGTGAGGTGACCTCTAGTGAGGCTGGGACTTCATGGGGAACCCTGCACACTGAAGGCCCCATGTAGGTCAGGGCTTCTGGAGGTGGCCTTCCCAGGGACAGGGCTCGTGAGCACAGGGAAACCTCAGCCCCTCTAGCTGCCTTTTCTGTGCAGGGCTGAGGAGGCCGTGCAGCACTGTGGGGACACTGCTGGTGCAGAAATACACAGCTGTCTGCAAGCGGACAGCCGACCCCAGCGTGAGGGGGAAGCGCTCCGTGTTTGATATGGAGACACTGTATCCATCAGGGATGTCACCTTTGTCAGTAACACAAACATCCACTGAGTAGTGGATCAGCAGCAGCCCCAGCCCGGGGTCTTGTTGGTACCAGTACACGTTGTCGTGGTTCAAGTCCTGGGAGCATTGCAGGGTCACATTCCCTCCTGTTCTTGTGACTTTGTGCCTCGGGGTCTGGGTGATGCCAGCATCCTTGTGCCCTGTAACAGAGAGCAGCGGAGGGTGATGTTCTGGTCCCAGGAGAAGGGCTTGTATTGAGGCCATGGGAGTCCCAGGGAAGGAGGTGCGTCTGTGACCAGGACTCACCTGCCCACAGGACACAGAAGGCCACAGGAAGAGGAGCAAGGACACCATCCCAGCACAGGCAGAATCTGTGTCTCCTGACTCTGTCATGGGAAGTGGACCCTCTGTGGAGACGCTCATGATGTCACTGTCTCCACAGGTGCTTGGGCCATAGAACTTGGCAGCCATGCCACTCCCCACAGGAACCAGTCAATCATAGCTGCACGGCCCAGAAGCTCAGAATGGGAGCATTTGTAACTCTGTTTGTAAAGAAGTTTATCTGCGTATATGCCCTGTCCCTGACTTCTGGGAGGAAATTTGTTCCTCTGTGTGTATTTTATTGCCACTATGATACAATTCCTCATTAGTGTTGTTTCTGAAGTCCCTGAGTGGTGCAAAGGATTAAGCACTTGACTACTAGCTGAAAGTTTGATCATTCAAATCCACCCAGAGGCATCTCATAAGAAAAGCCTGGTGATTTGCTTGTGAAAGGTCAAGGCCTGGAATCCCCTGTGGACCAGTCTACTCTGCACACTTGGGGTCGCCACGTGTTGGAGACAATTCATTGGCAACTAACAGCAACAAACTATTTTTACTCTTTCCTGATATTTCTGGAGTGTAGGGAGGATCCTCATGGCCACCCTGGTGACTTTTATGACTTGTCTGTTCAAAAGTCTCCTCCAGGAAAGTTTTACCTATTTTCCTCCTCACCCAGACTCTGGATCACTGGTGTTAGCCTAAAGCGAACCCTCCGTTAAAAGAGCCGGCCTGACAGTCAGCAAGTTTTCAGAGGTGAAGACTCGTTGCGCTGTCTCCAGCAGTTCACAGAGCCGCCCTCCACACGTGGCCCCCCTGTGCTCTTGTGGGCCAGGTCCTCCCTTGTTTGGGATGAGGTTGAGGGGACTGGGCTGCCTGAGTCCTTGCGACTGTGCTGTCCTTGAGGAAAAGAGGATCTTTCGAGATGTGAATGAGATATTCACAGAGAGCCTCTTGGGTCACAGGGAAACTCTCTGTCTCCATTCTGAAGGTCTTGTCCCCATCAAACAGAAGCGTATCAGCTGAGTCAGAAGCTTGCTGTAACTCAGAACTTACGTGTAGTCAACAGCAGCGCGTGTTACAGTTTCATATACAGGCCATCGCTCAGTCAGCGCTGTTTCTGTGACCTCATATCTAAATGTAATGTTCGCAAAAGGGAGATGGTTGGATCTCAAGTCATCTTCTTCAATGTCTTACCATGTTGTGTTGCTGTTGTTAGCTGCCACTGAATTGATTCTGACTCATGGAGACCACCTGTGTTAGAGCAGAACTGCTCCATAGGGTTTTCTTTCCTTTTCTTTTTTTTTTTTTTCTTTTATTATTGTGCTTCAGATGAAGGTTTAGGGAACAAATTATTTTCTTATGAAACAATTAATACATATACTGTTTTGTGACATTGGTTGCCAACCCCACAACCTGTCAATACTCCCCCCTTCTCAAACTTGGATTCCCCATTTCTGTTTGTCCAGCTTTCCTGTCCCCTACTGTCTTCTCATCTTTGCCCCTGGGCTAGTGTGCCCATTTAGCCTCATATACATGGTTGAGCTGCATTTATTATTGTTTGTTTTATGGGCCTGTCTAATCTTTGGCTGAAGGGTGAACCTCAGGAGTGACATCAGTACTGAGTTAAAAGGGTGTCCAGGGCCATACTCTCAGTTTCTCCATTCTCTGTCAGAACAGTAAGTCTGGTCTTTTTGTGTGAGTCTGAATTTTGTTCCACATTTTTCTCCAGCTCTGCCCAGGACCCTCTATTTTGTTCCCTGTCAGAGCAGTTGATGGTGGTAGCTGGGTACCATCTGTCTGTGCTGGACTCAGTCTTGTGGAGGCTGTGGTAGTTGTGGTCCATTAGCCCTTTGGACTGATCTTTCCCTTGTGTCTTTGGTTTTCTTCATTCTCCCTTGCTGCAGATGGTGTGGGACCAGTAGAGTATCTTAGATAGCTGCTCACAAGCTTTTAAGACCCCAGACACTACTCATCTGTATGGTTTTCTTGACTGTAAGCTTTATGGAGGCAGAATGACAGGACTAAATTCTGTAGTGCCTCTAGGTGGGTTTGAACTGCCAAAATTTTGTTCAGTAGCCGAGTGCTTAACCATTTGAATCAGCCAGCAGCTCTGTTCTTAAAAATAAGAAGTGCAATTTTTAAAATTGAGTCTTGTTTTCCATAGTCCAAGGATTTTTTTTTTTTGCATAGTAGGTATTCCAGAAATTAACTGAGTAACAACTATCTTACAAACTGCAACATATTTTTATGAACAAGAGGGCAGCAAACAAAAATTTACTCTCATGCCTTACGTTTTCTGGTCTGGTAGCCGGAGGTGCTAAGTATGGTCTTGGCACCCAGAAAACCCACAGAGACCCTGTAGGACAGGGTAGACCTGCCCCATAGGGTTTCCAAGGCTGTAATTTTTACAGAAGTAGACTGCTGCATCTTTCTCCTGCTGAGCAGATGGGTAGGTTCGAACCTCTGATCTTTCAGTTAGCAGGTGAGTGCTTAATCACTGCACCACCAGGGATTCCTCTTGGCACCAAGAAAAAAACAAACAAACCAACAACAACAACAAAAAAAACCCGTTGCTTTTTAATTGATTCTGACTCATGAAAACCCTATAGGACAGAGTAGAACTGCCTCAAGGAGCTGCTGGTGGATTCGAACTGCCGACATTTTGGTTAACAGTTGAGCTCTTAACCACTGTCCCACCAGGGATCCAGTTACTCTTAAATGTCTTCTAATACTCTCATCTTTATTGTAAGAGCTAGAAGCCTTAACTTTTCATTTCCCAGAGTCCTCTGACTGCACGTTTCTGGAAACAGTTGAGCTTCTTCCAATAAGCTACACTGGGGAATATTTGACAGACAGAAGAAAGTCATTTCATACATAGCAGAAGAGGTGCTTTGCAGTGGCCTCTGGACACTTCCTTGTGAATCGCCCACAAGATGGCTGCAGGTCCACTCTGACCCTCAGCTGTTTTCTCCGGCTCCTGACCTGGGTAACTCTAGCAAACTTCAGATTTCTGATCGTTAGTGGTAGGACTGAGAGCAGGCTGCAGCCTCCCCAGGCCCTCGCTTCCCAGCCCTTCCTATGTTTTGAGAGTGCCAATTCCCTGTATTAGCTCCCACCCCGCCTTCAATTCCTGGTGGGCTTCTGTTTTCTTGGCTGAATCTTCTGTGGCCCTGGGAAGCCCTCTAGTTACTTAGCCCTGGTTTGGGAGAACGTCATGACTGTGTTCCATGTGGAATGAGGTAGAGGAGACCATCTTCTTACTGGGTCACAGCTCAGGACACACACATATTCTCTGACTGAAGCTTTAGGTCCGGGAAGTCAGGGGACTAAGTGGCAGTAACCACACACCATTATACGTGACTGCCCATACTTGCTCAGCTAGCTGGTCTCCACAGTAGTGAGGCATGCTCCATCATGTCTTATTGACCAAGACTGGGGCACTATGAGACTTAGGAAACACTAGTTTTTGAGCATAGAGACATAGGCTTGAATCCTGGCTCTGATATTTGTAAATATGAAATATGAGGAGTCTCCATGAGCCACAGCTTCCTGTCTGTAAAGTGACGCGAGACGTCCCCATCTATAAAGTGGACACGATAATGTCCTTCCTTGTACCCCTACTCTCTCCCATGGAGTAGGCACTCCTGCCCTTTGCTAGGATTGGAGGGGACCTGTGAGAGCTGAGAACCTGAGTGAGGGAGCTCTGGCCATGCTCAGCAGCAGGGAGAATAGGAGAAGGACCACACAACTGTAGGGGCTGGGTTGGGGCTGCCCTGCTCGCCCTTCCTCACATCCGCAGCAGGGTCAGGAGGTTTGGATACAGGTGTGAAGTGGCTCTGCAAGGCTGTGCCAAGCTGCTGGCACAGAGGAACACAGCCGAGTCCCCCAGCTCCAGGGCACTCAGGTTCAGCTCAGAGTGGTCTTCAGAGAATTGTTGGCCTGAGAACCGGTCCGGGATGTCACCTTTCTCTTGCTGTTTCCCGTTGTAATACCGAAAGAGGAACTGTGGGCCCTGGCCCTGGGTCTGCTGGTACCAGTACACGTTTGTGTGTCCAGAGGCAGGATGACATTGTAGAATGGCTTGTCCTCCCTTTCTTGTGATGAAGTGTCTAGGGGACTGGATGACTTCAGGGTCCACGGGACCTGTGGGGAAGGGGACAACCTGGAGCCTAGTTTATAGGACCCTGATGCTTAGCATCAACTGAGATCTGTGGGTTCAAGGAGGTCCAGCTGTAACCCAGGACTCACATGTCCCCAGGAGACTCAGAGCCATCCAGCAGAGGAGCCTGGAGCCCCCGGCGTGGCTGGGCAGGAAGGGCGTGGGCATCTCCTGCTCAGGGATTCCAGAGAGTGGGCTTGTCCTCCCCTTTCTCTGACTAGAGTGTCTCCGTGACACTGTTGTTCTGATGTCATCAACCCTGTAGGATCATAAGCACCCCCTCCACCTCCTAACAGCACAGGCTCATTGCACCTAGGTCCTCCCCTCTGTCCTGCTCCTGTGGAGCAGGTGGGGCCAGCAGGCCGAGGTGGTCAGGCAGGGTCATGACAGTAACCATCCCCACACCCTCTCTGATCTTTCTCTGAGATCGTTGATCCTTGGCATGCACCTAGCCTTGGTAATCCTGGGGGGCTTCTTCCTGAAGTCCCCTCATGCCCCCACCAAATGCAGGCTCCAGTGGGCTCCCCTCACTGCTGTGGTGAATGCACCTGCAGATCATGTCAGTGGGTGCCAGAGACTACATTTAACCCTTCAGACCTCCCATTAGCCTGGTTCCTCAAACAGGCTCCCCCTGCCAGGACCCAGCCAAGACTCCTTAACTTGAGTCTCCCACACAGCTGTCAGCAGGTCTCCATGGAGCCACAGCGCCCTCAGGCGGCCAGCGGTGCATCCACAGAAAGCAGCTCTATGATGTGGCCCAGAGAGGCTGGGCGTCACCAAGGAGGCAGGACACCGCCCAGGACTGCTGAGAGCTGGTCCATTTCATGTTTTCTGCCTCCAGTGCAGGCTTCCCAGCAGAGAGGGAGGCACAAAGCAAATATTTGTCAAAAAGGAGAAAACAAATCCTAAATCTCATCGATTATTGTTCTAGACAGGGAGATACCAGCCAGTCATTAGATGCCAGCTGCCTTGGGAAGAGGGTAGGGCCTCTGCAAAGTCTCTCTCTTTAATCAAAGTTAATTTCTGGAGAGGGCGAGCCCTGGTTCTATCTGCTCAAAAATCTTCTCCGTGGCTGGCAGAGTAACCCTGAAGGGGAAACTGGCTACTTGCAGGTCTTGTTTTGTGAAGACCCCTTCAACCCTTTTGCTGTTTTATATTGAGTTTACTTGCCACGTTATGTTTGATTTGTAGGAATTCTTTATATTTGGGATAAAAAAAATCAGTTACCATCAAGATGACTTTACTCATGGGAGCCTCATCTCACAGGTGCACAGTAGACCTGCTCTGTAGGGTTTTCAAGGTTTTGATGTTTCAGAAGCAAATTGCCAAGCCTTTCTTTTGAGCACCTCTGGGTGGATTTGAACAGCCAATTTTTTCAGTTAGTAGTCTAGCACCTACCTGTTTGTACCACCCAGGAATATTATATATATATATGTATATAAGCAATTGACAATCTGTTCCACAGTCAGCCCCTGGGTTGTTCTGATTGATGATAGTGATCTTTTCCATCATTTCTTTACACAGAAGTTGTAGGTTTGATTCCTGTGTATTCCATCTGATGAGGTCGAAGTGTATAGTTGCAGTTTATGTTGGTGAAAAAACATATTTGCAATAAAGAAGTCTTTGGTCTTGCAAAATTCTATCATGGGATCTCTGGCATCATTTATATGACCAAGGCCATATTTTCCAGCTACTGATCCTTCTTCTTTGTTTCCAACTTTGGCATTCCAATTGCCAGTAATTATCAGTGCATCTTGATTGCATGCTTGATCCATTTCAGGCCGCAGAAGTTGGTAAAAATCTTCAGTTTCTTCGTCTTTGGCCTTAGTGGTTGATGGCTAACTTTGAATAATAGTCATATTAACTGGTCTTCCTTGTAGGCATATGGATATTATCCTATCACTGACAGTGTTGTACTTCAGGACAGATCTTGAAATGTTCTTTTTGATGAAGAGAGTAACATCATCCCTCTTCAATTTGTCATTCCCAGCATAGTAGACCAACCATATGATTGTGTGATTCGAAATGGGTGATACCAGTCCATTTCAGCTCACTGATGCCTAGGATATCTATGTTTATGTGTTCTATTTCGCTTTTGATGGGTTCCAATTTTCCCAGATTCATACTTTTTACATTTTATGTTATGATTATTAATGGAAGTTTACAGCTGTTTATTCTCATTTTGAGTCCTGCCACATTAGCAGATGAAGATCCTGAAGGCTTGACTTCACCCACACCATTGTGGTCAACTCTACTTTGAGGAGGCAGCTCTTCCCCAGTCATATTCTGAGTGCCTTCCAACCTGAGGGTTCATCTTCCAGCACTATATCAGACAATGCTACGCTGCTGTTCCTAAGGTTTTCACAGGCTACTTTTTTTTTTTTAGAAATAGACTGTGAGGTCTTTTTTCTTAGTCTGTCTAGTCTGAAGGCTTTGCTGAAACCTGCCCATCAAGGGTGACCCTGCTGGTACTGGAAATACCGGTGGCAAAGCTTCCAGTATCACAGCAACACACAAGTCCCCACATTAGGACAAAATGTGTTTTACTGATAATGCAAAGGCATTTGACTGTGTGGGACCATAAATTATGGATAACATCACAAAGAATGGGAATTGCAGAACACTTAATTGTGCTCATGAGGACTCTGTACTTAGATCAAGAGGCAGTCATCCAAACAGAACAAGGAGATAATGTGTGATTTAAAGTCAAGAAATATGTGCGGCAGGTTTGTATCCTTTCACCAGAGTTATTCAATCTGTATGCTGAGCAAATGATCTTGAGAAACTGGACTATATGAAGAAGAATGTGGCATCAGGATTGGAGGAAGACTCCATTAACAACCTTTGATATGCAGATGACACCACCTTGCTTGCTGAAAACGAGGAAGACTTGAAGCACTTTGTGATGAAAATCAAAGATGACAGCCTTTGGTATGGATTACACCTCAACATAAAACAAAAATTCTCAGCACTGGACCAGTAAGAGCATCATGATAAATAGAAAAGATTGAAGTTGTCAAGGATTTCATTTTACTTGGATCCACAATCAAAGTTCATGTAAGCAACAGCAAAGAAACCAAACAATGGGGCAGGTCCAAGAAGGCGGAGTAGTCAGATGCTTCCTGTGGTCCCTCTTACAATGAACACCCGAAAAAACAAGTGAATCAATTGTATATGACTATCTAGGAGCCCTGAACATCAAAAGCAAAGCTGAGGAATTGGACTGAGTGGCAGGGGGTGGGAGAGATGATTTGGAAACACCAAGGAGTTGCCAGACCTGATCCGGTGGGAACATGAAACCTTCAGGCTGGATCAGCTTCTGTGCGTGGTGAGGCTAGCAGTGGTGCTCGGGAGGCACTTTCCACTCAGGAGAGGCCCAGTGGCAGAGAGTCTACTTGGCCATGCAGAATGAGTGAATAGCAGCACTTAAGTGGCTAAAGATAAGTACAAGTGTCTGGCCTACCACTGGTATAAAAAAAAAAATGCATTTGGGGAAAAAAAATCTCTCCCATTTACCTCCCCCCTCCCTGTTGTGCACTGGCTCCTGGCCAGATTCAGCAATTACTGAGTCCCCTGGGCTGGAAGTAGGACCCTTAATGCACCCTGAACCATTCTCCTGATCTTGGAGGGGGAACAAATTAACAAACAGGGAAAAAATAAGCTGCCAGCTTCCCTAAGCCAGGACCTCAGGGTTGGCACAGCTACTTTGCCTAGACACAGACATAAGGGTCCACAGACTTTGAATGCCTTTCACCATTGCATATACTTGTGTGGGCCCATCTCAACAGCGTAAGCCCTCACTACAACAGTACAACAGGGTATATACCTGAAGTCTAACTTCAGCTGTTTCAGTTGTGAAGTGGCAGGTTTGTGAGGTTTGACACTACTCTACCTATTAAGCAGGCTCCTCACTTGCCACATCAGGGGCTTGAGGACTTGTGGCTCCACCTATGCCACCTAGCCACCTGTGACAAGGGTCAAATAATAAATGGTGCCCCCCAGTCCTTACAGCCAACAGCACTGGGTGCTCAGAGTAGGGCTCCAAAACTCACCTACCTGCTCGCTCTAGAGAACAGACACACACTTTCTTTTCAGACACTCAGGGGCAGCCATCACCCCCTTGCCTTGTTCAGCACCTGACCCTCTACTGCAGCCAGATACCTGTACTTACACCAGTCACCAATGCCTGTCTAGGACTGTAGGTGAGAGCCTGCACCACACATATGGTGACCAACTACTTGGACACCTGAGCTGAATCTATACAAGAAAATTTAACGGACTCCTGGGCTAACATACTTAGTAACAGATCTAAACACCCGAGACAGGATGTTAGAGCTTCAAAGGCACCAATAATCAAATCTGCACACACAAGCAGCCTATTTGGGCATATCTAAAAAAAAAAAAGAAGAAGCTAGGACAGTAAGCAAATAAAAAATAAAAAATTATAATAACTTATATGGCTTGGAGACAACAGTCAATATCAAATCACATAAAGTAGCAGATCATAATGTATTCAGCAAGCTCCCAAAATAAAAAAATCAATAAATTTTCTGGAGGAAGAGAATTTCTTGGAATTACCAGAAGCAGAATACAAAAAATTAATATACAGAACTATTCAAGAAATTAGGAAGGAAATCTTACAAAACGCAGAGAAATCTAAAGAGCACACAGACAAAGCAGTAGCGGAACTTAAAAAGGTTAGTCAAGAGCATAAAGACAAAGTTAATAGGCTGCAAGAATCCATAGAGAGAAAGAAATCAGGAATCCAGAAGATTAACAATAAACTTTCAGAACGAGACAACTCAAAGTCATAAGAGCAGAATTGAGGCAGTAGAAGTCAGAATTAGTGAGACTGAACATAAAGCACTTGACACCAACTTATTTGAGGAAAAATCAGGTAAAAGAATTACAAAAAACAAAGAAACTCTAAGAGTTATGTGGGTCTCTAACAAGAGAAATAACCTACGAGTGATTGGAGCACCAG